AACACTCTTCCGCTACGAGTACTTACGACAGTGATACTCATAAGAATTCATGATTTATCGACAGATTCGCTATAAACATAAATACTTATATATATATACATAGACATGTGATTGAGCAAGTACCCACATACCAGCTGCCATCACTACAATTTGTTGGCGCATTAAAATTCTTTGAAGTGCGTCCGTGTGCTGACTGATGTTTTATTGAAGGCACACAAAATTGCTGGGAGTGCCATGTCACTTATTGTTGTTGGCTGTGGAAAATATTGTTTTATATGATTTATTATTCAATTGAATGGAAATCCGTTTGCAATTTATCGCGGCACATTAAAATATTATATATAAATATATACATATTTATATGTAATTTTGTCTCGATAGTCTTCAACATTTGTATAAATTTACATGACACTATACTCTTATATAGAAATACAATACATATGTATATACAGTTAAGCATTTATTGCTTTTGTGACTTTAGAGTTATTGACATGCATCAGTTGTGCACCAAAGTGTCGAATTTCCATTAAAGTGAAGCTTGTCGGCTTGTAGAATATCGGAGACTAATTAAATGACAATGGACTTAAAGTAATTTTCGTTTGACCTGAGGGCAAACCAGCTGCCCAAAAGCGTGAAAGAATGTTTATGATATTAATGGCAATTTACATTATATAGATTTAATTCGTTTTATGAAGAAGAAAAAACTAAATCAATTTGATACGGTTACTACATATGTACTTAAATGTTTTGCTTCTTTTTTTTTTTAAGTTTACAAAATCTATTTTTTAAATTCTGAAAATTCGGTGATTTCTGTAAATCGAGTTCGGGATGCTGAACATTTTCGTTGCAAATTAGTGAAACTTTCACACTTAATTAAACCATTTCCATTGAATTTCATTGTTAACATCTATATATAGTACATGTATTTAAATTAATATAAGCTATTAATATATTGTATTTTGTCCCGGTATTGATTCCCGGCATACCGAGAGTTTTCTACAAGATTCCGTAATTTATGGAAAGAAATAAAGGTTAGAAATCTTTAAAATTTCGAGTTTAACCTTCTCATGCACTTATCAACTATTGCTATGGTTTTCATAGAAAAGACTTAAGCACCGAACCTGTTTAGAAACTGCAAATATTTGGGCGTATTTATAAGGTAAAAATTGGTATCACTGAACAATTTTAACTGTGATATTAAAATATGATATTAATATGTTAAAGGAAAATATTTTTCTGTAAATTTTCCAACACTATTTTAATAACAACTAAAAAAGTTATTTTTATAAATTCTTGTATTTATTTTTAATGCAAGTTTTCATGTAAGCTATCTTCTAGCATATCCATAGTTGCTCTGAATTATCTCTTTCAAAATATTCCTTTTAGTCGATGGCAGCTTTTGAAAGTGATTTCTAGGCAATCAACATTCAATCGAGAGCCAATTCAACAAAACCAAAAAATTAGTTTCTTTTAGTTGCATTTTTATTGCGCTCTTAACTAAATTAAGCCAATTGTATCATTTAAGAGCAGCCACTAAGCGTAATGAGCACAGATTTGTGCAATAAACTATACATTTTACGTGAACAACAATTAAAGTTGATCGTCGCATAAAATTGAGTGCTTCCGATAAATACTTGCAGTTATTTAAGATCATGTTTGTTCACTTGCATGCTTGCAGTATGAAATTGAAATTATTTGCAGTTGGCTAAAAGAGTTTGAAAGTATTAGATAGATGGTGTAGGATTGTATGAACTATGCACAGAGCTTTCTGAATGCAAATATAATTTTACTAAATTTTTTTTCAAAAAAAATAGTGCTTTTATTAATGTTACTATATTGAAATTGCATAAAATGGGTAAAGACTGCCACTGCCTGCCGTTTGTGGGATATCATAAAACGCACACCGTAAACGAAAAGAGAATTTTTGTATTGTATTTTAATTAGAGTAAAAATCCATAAAAATGGATAAACAAATCATTATTATGTGTAAATATTTTTATATGACAGTTTTTTTTTTGACATTGTGAGCTAAAATTGGGATTATGGTTCTAAGCTGATATTTGCTACTGAAGATGCAGCAAACTCATACTCATACACCGATAAAATGAACTGAGCTTAACAAAACTCGGTTGAAGAAACTAACCTTGTTGCAGGCTCCTTGATTAGGATGTCTGAGAAAGCTGCATAATTAAGAAAAAAGTGCAGAAATGTCTTTACCTAGTCTTCTTCCAGACAACTCCGATGATTTGTGGTCAGCAATGCCCAGTTTGAACTCCTACAACTAGGCAAGATAAACACCCTATGAGAGCAGGTAGTTAATTGGACCTCAATTAGCCTACTCTGGGCCAAAATCAAACTGAATTCTAAACAAAATGTATTTTCTAAACTATTTTTACTTTAACATATACTTTAGAGTCGCTCCAAGAAAATCAAACCTAGCTGTACGCATTTAAACATTACACACAGCAGCATCAATGTCAGCCACTTTGCCAAACCAAAATTAATAATAACTTTGAATTGAACGAAAAATAATACATTAGCAATAGATACGCATAAAAGCAGTGAAGACATAAAAATTGAAAAATACACGCTTACACATTCATCAACTGCATTTGAAAGTACGAATCCAAACTGCCAAAGCGCATGTGCATGCGCAACGCAATTAGCTACTTGCAAAACTTGTCTTAGCCAAAATATGTCTTTATTTCTACTTTTTTCTACTGCTCTGAGTAGGACATGGAAATTATTTATAACCGCACATTCAAGCGCGCACAACACACAACGTAGAATGCGAATAATATATGCACTTACCTACAGTAATGTTGCACATTTGCAAGAAATATGTGAGCAAAAACGCGAATTTGCCTGCAATTGCCACAGAGGCGAAGCAGAAGCCACCACTGCAACTGCTCGCATACCCACACGCGCACACGTATAGGCACGGGTACGTAATTGTTGTTTTTACAGGGGTACACCGCGCGGTATGAGTAACATTTGCCGTAATCGCTGTTATCAGCGCGCATAAATCTGCAGGGATTTTCTCCAACATTTACCGTTTACTTCTATTGTAATTTATTATTTTTTCAACTTTTTCAGCGGTGAGCTGCTTATTACATGGCATCGCATAACAAAATATAAAAATGTGCCACTATGTCATGCGACACGTTTCAGAAATTGATTTTCCACTTGGTTGGCGCGGCTGGCTCGGATTGCCAGCTGCGGTTGGGATGGCGTCACCTTTTGTGGTGTGGAGTATGGTTTGTTGTGGCGCATCTTCAAATTCCTGGCATTTGTCGCGCTGCATTGAAGTGTCTAAATAAAAGGAAAATTTATTGCGTTTCTTGTTTGTTTGCTGGTTCGGTTACGACCTGTGGATTATTGGTAGTGGTTTTGTCTTGGAGTGCGGTTGCGGTTGTTTGCCTGTCTAAATGACGTTTAACCCGTCTGCTAAGCATTTGCCACAGCACAATGACGACGGCTCCTCACTAAATCACTAAATGAATGTGGCTTTTAATTTCCTTTATGCATTCGTTATGTAATTCTTTTTTGTTGCAATCGAAAGGCGATTTAGAAATATGTGAAAATACTGCGTGTCATATGTTGTGATGTGTTAAATACTTGTATTATTTGTTTCCTTCATAATTAAAAGATAATTGGATATTAATACTGAAAACATTATAATCTAAGAGGCAGAGAGCTGAAGACCCTTACGTACTGAACTATGTGAATTAATAATAAACCAACAAGCTAATGTTGATAACATAGTTTTAAGCTACCTTTCTTATAATTGCGATACTAAGAATAGAAAAAGAAAAATAAGAAAAAAGCTATCTTGTCAAATAAAAATGTTTTCCATACAACAATTTAATTTGGATCGGCCAGTTTGTATGACAGCTATATGCTATTGCAGTCCGATATCAGCGGTACCGACAAATGAAATCTCAAAAACTAAGTACTGGCTCGCGTATATACAGACAGACATGTCTAAATCGGCTCAGCTCGGCGGATTATTTATATATATATATATGATTTATAGGGTCTCCTACGTTTATTTCTGGGTATTACAATCATCGTGGCAAACTTAATATACTCTGTTCAGCGTATAACTAGGACCTAAGCTTTGTCCAGCATATTCATTTTTGATTGTAGCGTTAAGAGATTAAATTACAGTCTCCTTCTGCCTTACAATTATATAAAAAACCTTTCCATTCTCTAAATTTTTATTATCTCATTTAATGAGGGTGTTACAAATAACAATAATCTTCCGAAATTATGAAGCTTTGCTATGAAACGCTCATGACATACATCTTCCTGGTCAGCATTTATAAGAAATGACATTAATTGAGTCTGAATTAATGATTAACTAAGAGTTTAAGATGCTAAGAATTTAACAAAAATATGGTTATAAATGGCGTTCAGATGGCCACAATTTCATGAACTAACCAAAAATCTTAGTTTTCGAGGAAAACGCTTCTCTAATTTCCGAAAGTTTAGAGAAAGATTACTGAAGTCTATGGGTAGTTATCTTAGCTGAGTAATCCCTAATATCAATATGTCCATAATCTAAGGTCAATATGAATTTATCTAGCTATCTCTTGTGAATATTAAGACATAACATCCGATGTACACATATACATATACTATATTGGCGACTTAAGATTTCTAAGATACACCTTTGATGAAATACAATAATATATTGTATGACACGTACATACTTGTATGTTGGTAAAAATCTGATCGAATTTCCGGAAGTACTTATGCTGAATCGTAATATGGTATACCCATAAAAATAGTCCAGTGTATTTCTTCTAGATGGCATAAAAAAGAGAACAAAGTAGATTGGTGATGATCGCGGCTGATCCTTTACAGAAGAATACTTACCAGCTTGTTACCAATCAGTATTCAGCAATAGCTAACAATGTCCCTTCATAGCGAGCGAATTTCAAAAAAATTCAATTTAGAATTTTGTCATTTGATTTCTAATTTATCTCATAAGAGCTCTTACAGTATACATATATATTAATTCGAGTTTAATAAAAACACTAAAATATTGGAAAACCCAAATGAATTAAGCCGGCTATGTGAGCATTAATATTTCTCTTTGGGTGGATTGCTAATTTGACGTTAATAAGATGTGGGCACATCAACGCGCACAGGCGCGAGCTAGCAAAACTGCAAAAAAAAAATTGAAAAGATCGTGATAAGTTGCCGAAAATCATGAGCTGCTCGAGGGCTTGGAAACAAATAACAGCAATAAAATGATGATAAAAGCTAGTTGCCGCATTTTTTGGCACTTTCAATTTCAACGGCTCCAAAATTAGGGGTCCTCTTCGAGATTTGACGTGATACTAGGGGGGGATAACGGGGTTACAACCTAAGTGATCGTTGTGAGTTTAGTGTGGGTAGGCAGCAGCATTAACAGCACCGTCAACACGGTTGTAAGTAACAGAAAAACAATAACAACAAGTAAACAATAACAACGGAAAAATTCAACGGCAATGTGGTAATTGTTAGCAGATAAAGCGCACATTATTTATTTTAAAATTTTTATTTCTACCGCTATGTGCCACTTACTTTTATTGTTCGCCTTATTTTTGTTGTTGTTTTAGTTGGCATTACAACGAATTCGTGCACACTCACTGCTTTTATTTATTGTGGCAACATTTCCATTTTCGGCTGCTGGATATAATTAATCAATGCCTCTTGCCTTCCTATGACATGCGTAAAAACATACAATCACATATAGAAATATATAAATATATATAATATTACACCAAATGAAAAAATTGTGATGTTCATACAAATGAGTTAACTGTATTAGCCATAAAAATTATGTGTTGACTTTTTATTGTTTAAACTCACCATATTTATTAAATGAAACTAAAAAACCCGAAATTATTATATATTTAATATATAGTCCACCACCAAAAGGCTCCTCGCATTTTTTAAATGATAACAGAATATGGAAGATAAATTTATGTTTATATGATACTAGATTTTACCCGCGGCTTCGCTCGCATCGAATCCATCAAATAAATAACTGATATCATTATAGTAGATATGGATCCATATAAAGAATATATTTTATATATATTCCAATTCTTAGTTATGAAATTACGACGACGCGTGGTTCTTACTTCTGCATCATTAATTCTTCTTGCCTGCAATTGTTCTTGCGTTTCCGTTGCTCTTCTAGCTTCCTGCTGCTAAGCTTGTCTTTTCGAACGTACTCGTGCCTGATGAGAAGTTTCAGCTGCTCTCAAAACACGTTGTCGATCTGCTTGCTGTTGCCTTCTCAGCTCTGCTTGAACTTCACATTCTTTATTTCGTGTAACTTTAGCCTTACGCACCGGCGTAGAATTTCTTGACAGCGCCGATTTCCGCTTTCGAGGCATTTTTATATTTAATAAGAGTAACTAATAATATTTGTGTTATTTCTCTGATTTATGTTTTTTATACATTTATGTTTTCTTTCATTTTTAATTTTTTCGACAAACAATCATTTCTGCCAAACTTTTTTTTTCAATTTCAAAATTTTCAAATTTATTTTCCAAACATATATAATCTTCCAAAATAATTTTTTTAATAATCCGTAAAAAAAATTATAAATTTAGTAATAAAAAGTATCCTATGTTCATTCTGACACCTCTAAGAGTATATGTACAAAATTTCATGATGATCTGTTAAGTAGTTTTTGCGTGAAAGCTTAACAAACAAACGGACTTTCGCATTTATAATATTAGTATAGATTTTGACAATTTTAAAATTTTAATTTTTTATAATAATTTGAAAGGTTTGTAGTAAAATATTCAAAACTAAAGTACTATGACTAAGAAAACAATGCATCAAAGATTACCATCTTCATGAAACAACACTTTCTTCTTCTTTAAATGGAGCCGTTTTACCGCGATTCTAATCCTCATACTCTTCAATAATACTTTGTAATAGTCGCCGTTGATGGTTTTTGTGTTTTTTTTTATATGTCACGAACGAATTAGCCGACATCTGGGAAATATATACACACGTCTTTTGAAGGTTATTTTAAACTACAAAATATATATACAACTACATACAAGTATATTGTATATAGTTGAGCAAAGCGCACCAAACAAATTTTTTACAGAACGTGAATTTTTGTAATAAAGTTAAACGATTTGTAAACGTTGTTCAGGCGTAAGTTTTTTTTATAATAAAATTGCAAACAATACTGAACAAAAATATTATAACAGCTTGACACGACTCATGCGTAATCTGTCAAAAGAAGGCTAATGAAAAAAGTACCTTTACTTGGATCACCCGTAGAGTGGCTTTCTTAGAAACGATACAATCGACTTAACTAGTAAATCTTACGAAAAATTACAAATAAAGCGCTGTGTTTTCTACAATTCAAGTAATTTGTATAGTAGGATTGATCCGATCTGCACCGATTTGTCCGATAACTGGAAACTCAGTCCATGAGATTTCTTTGCACTAAGTCGTGTGCCATTTAGACTAGCTTCGTTTTGTATTCAGCCTTATTGAAATAATCCCAAACAATTTTTTGTGCAATGTTTAGCGCCTGAGCAATCAAAATAGTGCTTAAATGATGGTCTAACTCAAGTAATTTCATTATTTTTTTGATATTTTCCGCAAGATTCCACATGTTTGACGGACACAAGAAAACTGTAAAAACTGTTTTCGAGATTAAAAAATACCATTGACCGAATATATAAAAATCTACAGACAAAGTTTATGCGTCATAAACAAACAGTTACCAAACCCATACTAACTAAATTTACACGAACATAAGAAAGGTTTTTTTCATGGAAAAAAAATTATTCATTCGATTTGTACGCGCAGTTTAAATGCACTAGTCCGGGTCCCATATGATCTTAAATTTAGCTCTAATTATTATATCATGAATAGGGTATATTAAGTTTGCCATGAATTGTAACACCCAGAAGGAAACGTCGGAGACCCTATAAAATATATACATAATGATTATACGTCTCTCCGCCTGTCCGCCTGTCTGTATATATGCAAACTAGTCCCTCAGTTTTTAAGCCATCGATCTGAAAAGTTAACGTATTTTCTTGTTTTTATTATTTCACAATCTGAACGAAAAAAATGGCGGTTTACTACAAAACAATCACTGAGCATCACAATGATGGGGGATACTACTTTCAGTTAGCCAATGCTTATACCAATTTCAAAAGTGAACGCTTTAATTAGTCAGAAATTTACAAATTCCCTTAATGTTATGCGAATAATTTGTCTTCTTCAAACATTAAAATATATTAGGAAATCAGAGAGAAAGACACCTATTTCATTAATATTTAGTAAAACTGCAGTGATATTCCTTTTTGGCGGAAATCATGTTGAACTAACCGTGTTAATTTGCATATTAAATAACTGTATAAACTTCGCGCGAATTATTAAACTTAATTGCAAGTGGCGCCCATCATAATGCATTGCAAGGGAAATGTTATTGTATTTAAATCTAATGCTTTCTTTGAATAGGAAATAAGATTATTCAAAGCAAAAAATAAATAAGATAAAAATTTCTCTAAAGCGCAACAGAGATTAATGACCCCGCTGCGAGGAAAATGCCAGAAAATGCTAGTAGAGTGACAGAAACGAGCTTCGCCAACTAAAACATGGTTGCATTAAAGGTCTTTGAAATCAGCTCAATCGATTGTTTGGCCAGCGACAGTTGCACTTCTTCCCACGCAAGGTCTTCACCGCCACATGTCTTCCGGTTGCTGCTGGAGACATCGCGAACTACATCATTTACCACTACGTAATCGACACTCATCGTTCGCGCATTCAAATGAGCGATTATTGCCAGCATTTTCATGCACTGGCATCTTCCACAATGTTGCATGAACGTAGGTATGTATGAAATCGCCGCGGTTGTAATGAAATTGAAAATGCGCGTCAATTATTTACTGCGCGTGGGACAGCGGGTACGCTGCAGAAAACTCACATGAGCCAATACGTGTGATTAAAAAGTCATATATCTAAATTTGCTTCGTCGTGCAGGTATGTTATATGAAGGTGGGGCGGTTTTTCATTACAAGCTTGGCGATAAAAATATTGCGCGGACTGAAAACCATTTTTGAATGCTTGAATTTTAATGAAAGTTTAAAATTTATCAACCGCGATCAAACCAAACTGTTACTGAACTGAGACTATTTCGAAGTTAACTAAAACTAGCTTTTTTAATTAAAATATTTATAAGTCCAACTAAAAAAAGTATATTTCTTAAGAAAATTTTATAAAGTTTTTATTACATCCATATATGGATATAAATCGAAGAAAAATTCGTAAACCAATTATTAAAGCTTTTTTTCCAATTTGAGCACCCCTAATGTACTTATATGCACATATATGTTGTATATATGTAAATGCATAAGCAGGGGCAACATGCCCTCAGCCACTATTGGCAGACTCAATTGGTCATGGCTATGGCATCATAACGTTTGATTGTAATGAGAAAATCATTAAGAGCTGACTTCAGCAGTTTCTCCAGGAGTTCGACAGCAGGAAAATTCGAATACTGAAAAACTGCAAAGCTTTTGCTAATACTCGTCTATTTCTGAAGGTTTGTAAGCGTCTTTTAGCGCACATAAGGAAGACATTTCTCATGCAAAAAATAACAATAATAACAACAATGTAATAGACCAACAGAGCAGAGAAACAGAGAAACTGTAAAGGAGGGAAGGTGAGAAGAAAGCTGAATAGGCAAAGGTTGAAATGTGTAGAGTACGTAAATGCACACTATAGTCGGTAATGAGAACACAACTGCAAAGTGGTTAACTGAAAACATTGATGGGAAATACTTGGCGCAAATTGAGCTCACAAGACTAATAGTGTATATTGAAAGCAACACTTCACTATGTATAAGGTTCATATTATTCTAGTGAATAGTAGCAATTGAAATTTTGGTTTCAAACTCCATAAAAAAACTACATTGTTGGGATACATGGATCAGGTATAGGGCATATATAATTATATTTGTTTAAAATTTTAAATTGGTGGCAGTCATTCTCAAAAAATATTTGCAACTATAAATTTGCCAAAAGCTCTCCAATTTGATAATCGTATTGTAGAGCTTCTTTAACATTTCATTTTTTTACTTAAAATTCTTCAAAAGGCTGCAACAGTGCAACAATATAATTCTATAGAAACAATTTAATTCGGTTTCCCACTAAACAATGCAATGTTTATTACTAATGAAAGAATATACAATTTTGTTGCAGTGAAACAACTTTAACTCCGTCCCCAAAGCGAACAGACTTCCGGAAAGTAATTCTAAAAAAATTTTGAGTTTTAAATTTACATGTCCTTCATTGCTAAAAATCATCTCCACCAAGTGTAGGCCTCCTCAACTTCGTTGCATTTGCTTAATTGTTGTGCCCATAAATGAAGCAACTAAAAACGGCTGCGGCGCAGCAGGGATTGCCAAATCGTGTTTGACGCTGTATTAAAACTAAATTTAAATTGATGCAACAGCAGAAGTAAATTTGCCTCCACACACTCTTCCCGATCGATCTGCGGCTCATTACGACACCAACTAAACTGCTCATCTGCTGGTTCGATGATGCGCATGATATTAGATTCGTATTAGACTGTCGATTACTCGTATTTTGCATTTTGCACGCGACTCAAATCGGCGACAGTCTATTAAAAGTGCTTTAAGGTGACGCTTGAAGACGCTACCTTCGGCCACCTCGAACTTTAGCTTGACTGACATAATGCGCTAACCCTCTCCCACTTGATGTACTTCGACAAGCATAAATCATTTTAGACTTCTCCCATTTTCGTGGTTGCCTTAGCCGCCCGTCTTACCGTTGTTGTTGGCTTTTCCAGCAACCTCAACTTTGAAATGCCAAAATCGCATTTACTCACCTCCACATTTGCTTTGTGTCGCAGCCAAGAGATGGCAAGACAGACGGCCTTTAAGTTTTTATATATTTGCTGTCATTGTTATTGTTATTTTAGCTTTTGTAATAATTCTTCACCGTGCTGTTTAGTTTTCGAGGTTTGGAACCTTTGTGTCTTGTTCGATGGCTGCCGAAGGTGCATGAACAAATGATTGCAGCAATTTTCAACTTAACAGCCGTTGCAGCAATCAAAGTCCAAAACTTTATTAAAAAGTAGTCAAATGACGGAAGTAAATAATGGTTTATTAAATATACTAATAATTGGTATTAACAACTTTTTGGTACATTATTAATTGTATATATGTGCTAGTATATGTATGCTTGGGAGCTATTATGCTGCAGGGAAAGGTTAAAAAAATTTAGTATTTTTAACTTCAGTCTATCTTCGCAATAAGTATAACTTTTATTCTGTACAATATATATGTACAAAAATACGCTTCTGACACATTAGTTAGTTAGGTTATAAAATCATTTTATATTTTCAAAACATTTATTTAAATTATTATTTTTTGTAACTAATCATTTGGGCAAATTGTATTCCATACAGAATTATAGAATTATATTGACCATGTCTTATTGCATAGGGTAGCATACAAATTTGTGAACAAGTTTCAATAACCTAATTTCTGAAACTAAAATGGTGAATTTTTTACACAA